GGGGGGGGGGGGGGGGGGGGGGGGGGGGGGGGGGGGGGGGGACAACGGTTCTTGATGGACAAGAATCCTACTCAGCGGTAACACTATTTATACTAACTTGTACGTGTTCGATGTAAACAGAAGACTTCAAGCTTTCATTTCCTGTTGATTTTAATCGCAAAAAAAGTTTTCAATTGCAAAAGGTATAAGAAAAACTTGTATTATTCAAAATTTTTAATTTATATGTATGTTTGCTATTCATACATAACATTTACGAAATATAAAATATAATAGAATAGAAACTGAAACGGTATTACAAATACTGGTAAAATACCGGTATTTTTCGGTAGTTATTCTACTATCTGTAAAGAAACCGAATGTTGCAAATACCGTGGTATGAAGTCACCGCATTGACGTTATACCGGTATACAGGGTGTCCCAAAATTATTGCACAAGCGAGAAATGAGGGGTTCCTGAGGTCATTTGAAGTAACTTTTTCCTTGGCAAAAGAGCAATCTGCAGCTTCGTTTACGAGTTATTAACCAAAAACAGTGACCAATGAGAGTCGAGATCAACTGATGCTAAGCGGCCGAGCCAAGGAACGGCCGAAGCCCCGTTCTACTCATTGCCGCGGCCGCTTCGCATCAGCTAATCTCGCCTCTTACTGGTCACTGTTTTTCGTTAATAACTTGTAAACGAAGCCACGAATTGCATTTTCGCTAAGGAAAAAGTTATTTCAAATAATCTCAAGAACATCTCATTTTTCACTTGTACAATATTATTGGGACATCCTATAGACGTATATCGGTGTAATACCGTTATATTAGAATAGAAAATTGTTAACAACTATAAAAATGAGGCGCGAGCCTCGAATAGTCGCGTCTCCTCTTCCTAAATTGTCCATTTTTGTTTACAAGCTGAAAGACGAATGGGGAGAATTTACGGTAATCCCCCAAAGAAGAATTTTAAAGTTATTAATGTGTGAACCGTTCAAAAATTCTCGAAAAAATGTTAACCCTTCCAAGTACAAAAATAAAATATTAATCCACAAAAATACTCAGTAAAATGTTAAACTTTGGAAGGATATAAGAAAACACTCCAAAAATACTTATTATCATTTAATTTCATTTGAAAAAAATATTAAAATTAGAAATAGTTGTCACTTTATATTTGATTTGAATGCTTCTTTAGGGGATTAATTGTTCTCCATTAATATCTTCTGGCTGCTTGTTGAGTGAATTCATTGATATAGACGTTTTTTGTGGTTTAATTTGTTGAAATTTTTTTGTGAGAACCAGAGTCGAAACCAAAGTCAATTACTTGATTGTTTTGGGAAGATTTAACTTATTTTTGTTACTACTACGTATTTTTACGATCGATATGTAGAACGTCATTATTGTATACATAGCGTGTGTCCGTCTCTTTGTATTACCTATTATGAGTACGTATCGTGATGTGATTTTTTTTAGTTTATGCGACATGATTTCTAAATAAATATATAAGCGTCTTTGACACCTCGGACAATGGACAGAAACGCAGTTTTAGCAAATAAAGAATCATACTCGTCAGAAGCTGCTTGCTTACTGTTAAGGTAATTTTGTAAAAGGAAGTTATCAATTGTTATGTTTATTTTTAATCGCAAGAACTCGTTTTCTAATTTATTTTATTTTCAATTTTTAATTTTGAAAATTTGTTTCAATTGAACTGCAGGTGCATCGTATTCATTATTTATAAATTATATAGATACACAGATTAAATCCAGATAAACATTCAAATGTGCGCACAGGTTTAACATTGTGATTCATTTTACGGTAAAAATGTAAAAAGTATTAGTTACAAGACCTATGTTTATTAAACATTTTTAACTTCTCCGAAGAAGTGCTACTGCCCACACAAATCTTAATCCTCGTTTGTAAGTTCATGACTTTACATA